TGAGGAGACACATTGAACAAGATAAATTAGCGAACTATATACTATGTCAGCTGGTGACAGGCAGTAAGGAAAATGCGAGAAAAGAAAGCTAGGAAGTGCCGGGAGGCTGCGGCTTTAAGAGCGAGTAGTTCTGGTGGTGGGACCATCAGGGATGGTGCGTGAAGTTCAAGGTAGAGAGTGGGAATGGAGAGAAGCCTAGGTTGCTAACATGTGGGTGTCGAGGGATAAACACCCAGGGAGCTGGTGTGCTGTTCCCACAGATGCTAAAGTCACTCAAGGTGATGGCAGGGCAGAAGGACCAGAGGAAGTGGTCAGGCACCAAGTGTTTGCTAACAGGAGGGCGATGGGGACCTTAGAGATAGCAGGCCATAAGGGCAAGGTAGCCAGAGGTGTCAATGCTCACCCATGAGAAGTTTTAGAGGAGACAGACAACGGGGGGTCTTGGAACAACAGCTGGGACCAAGGAGGGCTTCTATGCCACCTCCTGCCTCTGACGGTGACAAGGCATGAGCAGCCTCCCTGGAGAGGATGTGGGGGGGAGGACAGCAGGTGCTCAGGTGAGGACACAGAGAGTCTCCAGAGAGGCACATACTTGCTGGCTACAGAGGGGTGGTTGCTGAGGGCGCAGGGGGAGGTTTGGAGAGCTGGGCAATGGCCAGGAGCGGGCTCAGGGGCACAGAATCTCAGAGCGCCCCCTCCGGGTTGATGCTCTGCTATGAGGTGGGTGGCACCTGTGGCCAGTGAGGGGGCAGATTCAGGCCATGGTTAGGAAACACAGAATGACAGCCTCAGCAGGGTCTTTGAGGACCTGCCCAGGCCTGTAGGCAGAGGACTTCTCTCCCTCAGTGGGGTCAGTGCAAAACCCAGAAACGGCCAGCTTGCCATTGAGAGGACATATTGATTGATTGATTGATTCATTCATTCATTCAACAAATATTTATTCACTCCCTACTATTAGGGCAAGTGTGAGTCAAGGCACTCAGGGTAGATTAGTGAGAAAAACAGGTCCATTGCCCACTCTTGTGGAGGGAACAGGTAACGTTACACACAATAAATATTTTTATGTAATAGTGTGTATTGGAGAGACGCACTGTGGAAAAATCAGGGCTAAGCCAATGAGGGGAAGGGATTAAAGAAGGTCTTTAGGGTTGGTTCGCGGAGATTGTGCCCCTGAGCAGAGATATGGAGGGGTGAGGGGACACTGTGTGGAAGAGCATTCCAGGAAGTGGGAACAGCCAGTGCCAGAGAGCTGAGGCAAGAGACAGTTGAAGGGATGTCACTAAGGGGGCATCAGAAGGGAGCCAATGGGCCCAGGTCTTGAGGGATGTGGCCATCATTAGGGGACTTGAATCATGGAGCCGCCTGACTGGACCCTTGCCTTTCAAGGATCCCTCTGGCTGCTCCCCTGGAAATCGAATGTAGGAATGGGGTCACAGCAGGGTAGGTGACAGGAAGCAGGGCTCAGAATCTAAGTTTGCAGCTTTGCTGACCAGCTGCCTCCTGCCTTAGCACCCGGACTCACCCCTGCCTGTCCCCACTGTATCCCTAATGATGCGTGGTGTCCTGTCACACTCTGGGAGGCTACCAGCGCTCACTGACTCATTTCACTTTAGAAATATTTACTGAGCATCTAGTATGTGCCAGCCCTAAATATACATAATGTCCTGCCCAGAAGGACAGCAGCCACTGGAGATCTATAATTTCTAGGCCAAGAAACAGTCTTAATAAACAGTCCCTCTTATTACCAGGCACCTCCTCTAAGCTGCATAGAACTCCTGAGTCCAGGTTTAGCCCAACAGGGCATCTGAGAAACAGTCCAGTGCCCCCAAAGAATCCTGACCTTTCTAGATGCCCCTTAGAGAACAGGAGAGGGACCCATTTGTAACTCAGGGCACCCTTTCGGAAAGCTCTCCTTCCCAGCCTCCCTGGCCCTCCACTGGCTCTGCCAGCCCCTCCTCCCCTTCACCTTTCTGTTTTCTCTCACCTCACCAGCTCTTTTCCACAATCAGCATCCCAAAAGTCAAGGGCAAACCAGGGAAAGTAAACCTATTAAGTGTTGACTCTGACGCGCTCCATCAGTACTACTCACACAGGGCAGGCACTGTCCCCAAGGCCGGCCCGGCTTCCCACACGCCGACCTGTACATGCTGGGTGGTTCATCCAGGCCTGGAGTGCAGCTGGAAGGCAGGGCACTCAGAGGGCATCACCTGCGCTGGTCCTGTCTCCCCTCACAGGTGTGGCCCGGGGCCCCCGCCAGGAGAAAGGCCCACACAGGAACCCCCTATATCTCTTTGTCCTCCAGGCATCCCAGACTTACGTCCCAAACCAAACACACCTCTCCTGAGGCCTCTACAGAAGAATGGCACTCATAAGGTTCTGTGAGGGTTAAATGAGATAATATATGTGCCCATCACATGATCATTGTTTAATAAATCCCAGCTGCCATTACTATGGTCTTCCCCCACTCCCAAATCTCCTTTGCAGCTAGACTATAAACTCCCTGAAATTAGGGCTGCATCTTATCTTGTATCCTGGGTGGCTAGTTCAGGGCCTGGAATATAGTAGCTGTTTATCAATGCTGAGTGAATTGAGGAAAAATATGCCTCATGAACTAGGCCCCACAGGCAGGACTGAAAGTTTACTCTTTCTAAGAAAGTTTCCTTTTTCCTTTAGACAATCTCACTCTGTTGCCCAGGCTAGAGTGCTGTGGCTGCAGCCTGTCTTACAGCAATTTCAAACTCCTGGGCTCAAGTGATCCTCCTGCCTCCTGCCTAGGTAGCTGGGACTACAGGCACCTGCCACCACACCTGACTGATTTTTCTTTTTGGTAGAGATAAGGGTCTCACTCTTGTTCCAGGTGGTCTCAAACTCCTGAGCTCAAGGGATCCTCCTGCCTGCGTCTCCCCCCACTGCCTGGTTCTGACATTCTTAAAGGGCCAGTGTAGAAGGGAGTGTATCCTCCCCGGGCGAAGGGCAGTGTGTGGGAAGCCTGGATTAGGTAAGACGCCCTGGGCAGAAGGCGAGATGGGCTGGAGCTGAAGTCCAAGTTCAATGCACATCTGGGTGCTAGTTCCTGAAGCTCATTCCCCTATCAACATCTGATAAGGCCCTGTCCGGAGATGACTTCTGCCATCTTGTCCCCCCCAGCCTTTGCGCTGGCCACCGGGACAGAGGACTCCTGAAACAAGGCGGCTGGGGACACAGCAGCTCCTTCCCTGCTCTTCATCTGCCCCCCTTCCCTGCTGTCAGTCAGCCTGACAGGAGATAAGCCAGGAGAGAGCCGCCTGGGCCTGCGCCCAGAGGGAGGACATAATTTAAAAGCCACTGCTGGCCTGGCGGATGCAGGGGGCACCTGAGGACCTTAGCTGGGAACATGGAGAGGACCTAGATGGGAAGAGCTCTTTTCTGACAAAGGGCAGAGAAATTAGCACTCACTGAGCAGCCTTGAGAGTAAAGGGCAGGGGCTGCCAGCCGGGAAGTCTGGCCTGCCTCACACACCGCAGGAGGAAATCCCAGAGCGAATCTGACCTCGGACTTGTAGTCCACACCCTCCTTTGACATTGCTTCCCTTTCTCCCTCCATCCCCCCCCCCAGCCCCCACAAAGGCCTGTGATTTCCCAGGAGCATCTCAGGAAGAGACCAGATCATGGAGATGGGGCTCCAGGAAGTGCTGCGAAGCCTTCCTGTGGGAGGATGAAAGCCAAACGTTTTTTCATTCATTCAATCAGCAGGAAGCAAAAATAGACGTGGCCTGTCCCCATCTGTGGCTCATACAACCTACAGTGGGTGACAGGGAGTACCAAATTCATCTCGCAAACAAAACGTAGCACAGCAAACTGGTGGAGGTGCTCTGTGGGAGAGGCACTCGGCTCTGGGGGAGGATGACAGGGCTGGGCACTGTGGTCTGACCTCCCGCAGAGGGGACCCAAGTGGACACAGGAGAATGAGAAGAGGTCACCAGTTAAGAAACGGGCGTGGACAAGCCTTCCAGGTAGAGACGCAGCCCCGGGGGTGAGGGGGAGGACAGGGCGTGTGTGAGGAGCAGGGGCCGCTGAGATGGAAGGCACATGTCTGGGGCCCATGGTGGTGGCGCAGGCCAGTGAGTACCACGCCACACAAGGCCCTAGGCCACCTTGGGCTTTGGGTCTCTGCCCCAGGAGCAATGGGAAGCCACTGGTGGGGAAAGAGGCTGGGGAGGGTGGTGGAGACCTGTCCAGTTTGGGATTGGTGCATTCGTTCTGGCCACTGGCACAGAATGGATTCCAGGGCAGTTGGGGGGAAGAGAATCCAGAAGCGGTTAGCAGCCGTGGTCCAGGTAGAGACAGACAGTGGTGGCTCGGGACAGGGTGCTGGTGCACCCAGATGGACGCCAGTTTTTTCCAGAGATAAAGCCCAAGCCTTGGCGATGTGGGGGTGGCAAGAAGGAGGTACAGGGACAGCTCCCAGGTTTTGGTCTCCCTATCCAAGGGGTTGGTGGCCCCACACTTTGTTGTCTCGTGGGGGTTCCCCTCTCCCCTCTCTGTCCACCGTGGTGAGCAGACTCACTGAGGTCAGACAAGGAGGGAAGCAGAGAGGTGTCCCAGTGGCCTCCTCATGCCGAGGAAACCTGCAGCCTGGGATTACGGGGTATGCAAGGGCAGAGGGCAGAGCCTGAACGCCCGACTCCCGTCCCAGTGTGGACAGTTGGGGAGAATTTGGGGCTAAGTGTGAGTTACCTGGGCCCTCTCCCTGACCAGGCCCCACTCACTCAGTGAATCCCCACAGGCCACATGTCTTCAGACCTCAGTTTCTGCACCTGTGAAATGGAAAAAAAGGGAATAACCACTTTTCCTCTTCTTGGGGATGATGGGGAGTTACCATGGGGTCGCTAACATAGAAGCCCTTGTGGAAAATGAAGAGCAGAGTGCTTGGGGGGGGGGCGGTGCTAAATGGGAAAACGGGGTTGAGGACTGGTGGGGTGGCCTCTCCCCATCACCTCGCATACTTCCTGTCTCTTGCAGGCCCTGAAGCCTGAATAGCCAACGGGATGCCAGGCCTGCTGAATCGGATCACAGGGGCAGCTCTGCCCCTCACTGCATCTGATGTCACCTCCTTTGTCAGTGGCTATGCCCTGGGCCTCACCGCCTCCCTCACCTATGGCAACCTGGAAGCCCAGCCCTTCCAGGGTAAGGACCTCTGTTGGGGCCTCCCCAGGGGCACCCCCTCCTTCACGTTGACTCTCTGTCCTAACATTTACTAGCTGTTTAATGTTGGGCGAGCCAGGCAACCTCTGAGTCTGTTTCCCCATCTGTAAAATAGGAATACTGTCTCGGCTCTGCAGGCCTCAAAGCTAATAGCAAGGAGCATTAGGGTTCCAGTGGAGGAGGTTCGGGCTCAGCCCCAGTGCATATTCTTTCTGTCCCACAAGGCTCACTGTCCAGTCCTCACTTTCTCCAGGAAGCCCTATAGTTGGAGAGACATCAAGATTCAGTGGAAGGCAGGAGCTTTTGGGCCCAGCCATGGTTCTGACTCCTTTACCTTGGGGAAGCCACTGTCCCCCTCAAAATCAGGATGCTCCTCTGTGCCACTGGACACCAGGGTTTGAGAGGGAGAGCAGATGATGTAGTGTAGGAAGCAGGACACACTGGATTGAAGAACAGTCTGGGGATGTGATTCATAGCGTGGGGCAGTCAGGGTGAAGAGCCATCTGGGAATGGTACTCCTCTCCCTCTACTTCAGGACAGGAGTCATAGGACAGCTCCCCAGGAGGGTGCTGGCCCGGACTCCCGCTCTCCACAGTGATGGGACTTCCTATCTTGGGCAGGGACCTCCAATCCCACCTGAGATTCTGAAACCCTTTCAGTGCTGCCCGGGGGCCCAGCACCACCCAAAGGGACCAGCAGGGCACCTTTCTTCCCATTAGAAGTCTCCTGGGCAGTACAAATAGCCGTGTTCTTGTCTAAGGAAGCCTGGGAAGAGGGGCTTATAATAGTCTCCTGCAAACCCAGGAGACTGAAAAACTCTGAGCAGCCCTAAGGCTTGCCATATGCAGAAGGAGCAAGCACCCCCATTTTATAGATGAAGAAACTGAGGCTCAGAAGGGCAGGAAGTCAGGATTTGTGGAGGGCTCCCTGCGGCTCCAGCAGTGTGCTCTTCCGGTGTTGGAGGGTAGATTAGACGAGACCTGGAGCTCCTAACCCGGTCCCCATACCATCAACATCACTGGGGTGCTGCTTGGAAATGCAGAATCCCAGGCGGGCCTCACCAGTTACCAAATCCGAATCTGCATTTCAATAAGACCCTGCATGATTCACCAGGTACTAAAAGTTGGAGATAAAGAGAACCACATCACATGCCATGGGGCACGTAGCTTAGTAAAACGGTGGCTACTTTTTCAATCTTCACAGCGACCCTGTGAGTTTGGCTTTATTGTCCCCATCTAACAGATGGGACTATGAGGCTTAGAGAGACTATCTTACCCAATGTCACCTGACTAGGAAACATGGCAGGCCTGGATTAGAACTTTAGTCTTCCTCCAAAGTCCCACAGAGGGCACACTTGGGGCCTGTGGCCCAAATTCACCATAGAGGTGTTTGGTTAGGCCCACTCAACAAGTCACATAAAAATCTGGGTTTCCACTCTCTCTTGGAAAATCTGGCCATACCAGGCTCACATATCTGCAAAGTAAGAGCTGGCACCGCGCTGTGCTTATCTGCTGGGCCCCAGAGCCAGGATACCCCAACCCGGCTCTCTGCCGAGGCCTCAGGGTACCCACTTAGTTGCAGTTAAGTATCATCCATCCGTCAGGCCAGAGGGGTACAGAGGGGTGCTGGGGCACTCCATAATTCTGGGCCCCTCTCTGGCAGGCCTCTTTGTGTACCCCCTGGATGAATACACCACGGTGATCGGCTTTGAGGCGGTCATTGCCGACCGTGTCGTGACGGTGCAGATCAAGGACAAAGCCAAGCTGGAGAGTGACCACTTCGATGCCTCCCAAGTCCGATCCCCAACTGTCACTGGTAAGGAGACCATGGAAGAGCCTGGGCCTGGGCAGAGGCTGCCCAGGGCTGGACTCTCAGTAGACCGCACGGTAGCCATGGATGGGGAGAGAGCAGTGAACTAGTTAGGAATATTAGCCAGAATCCTGTGCAATTTTTGGCCAGTAATTAACTTCTCTGAAGCTCTGCTTCAGTGTCTGCAAAATAGAGGTGATTGTTCCTGTTCTCACCTTTGAAAGTGTAGTGAGGAGCAAAGGAGGGGAGGCCACTAAAGGGTTTTAAAGACACCTCTAGGAAACAGAATAGCCTGCCATTTAAACTCAGGGATTAGGGAGTGAGTCACTCCAGGATTTGACTCCCTATTCTGCTGCTCCAAATGGTGGGGGCTTAGATAAGAAATTAACCTCATCTGTAAAAAGAAATATATAACTACACTCTCTCAGTGCTCAACCAAGGCGATGTATGCAGAGCACTTAGATCGCAGTAAGGACTCAAAGCACAGCAACCAATCCTGCTGTTGAGGGAACTGAGGCTCAGAGAGGGAGAGTAACAGGCTCGAGGTCACACAGCATCTTAGTAGCAGAGGCAAGCCTTAGACCCAGGAAATGTAAGAGATTCCTACCATTGGCTCTATGATCAAGGTGAAGTTTGTTCACCTAATTGTTAAAATGTTCAGGAATCTTTTAATGAGCACTCATCATGTGTAAGGTGCAAAACTGCCCTCCAGTTATTATGATTTCTTATGGCCTAGAAGAATAGTTAGGCTGTGCCTGTGAGCAACCTTGATGGGAGGCAGAAAACGAGCCAAGAGGGATCTTGATAATGTCAGAGGAGGGGAACTGGGGTCCAGACTGGGGACCAGGGGGCATCATTCTTGTGGAGGGTTGGATGGAAGGGTGAGATTAGCTAAGCAGGATGAGGGACTGGCCTGCAGATAAAATGCAAGAATGTGAGCAAAAGTACAAATTCCAGAGGTGGGGGTGCTTTAATTTGGTTCTTGGGGTGGGGAGGAGAAGCTGTGGGATGGACATGTGGCCCTCTCTTGGGAGACTTCCTCAGAGTCTCCCACTCCCAGGAAGGTACAGTGGAGAGTACACAGGTTTAGAGCCAGACTCACGTGGGTTCAGATCCTGATTCAACAAGTTGGCTATTTGCTGGATGACTCAGCCAAGTCTCACCCCATGCTGAGCCAAGCTTGGTTTTTCCTGTCAGCAAAATGGGGCTACTCAACCTACCACCCAGCAAGCTTAGAGGGGGTCAGACATGACATATGCCCAGCCTCTGATGCCAGCCTGGCACTTAGGGAACATCCTGCAAGAGGGGGTTTCCATCTCCCCTCATTCCTGCACACCGGGAAAAGTGGCCCTGGATGAGGACTTGGAGCGGATGCTGTTTGTGGTCAACTTGGGGACCATCGCCCCCATGGAGAACATCACCATCTTCATCAGCACCTCCTCGGAGCTCCTGACGCTGCCCAGCGGGGCTGTAAGGGTCCTGCTGCCTGCTGTCTGTGCCCCAACTGTACCCCAATCCTGCACCAAGAGCTCTGACACCTCTAACCAACAGGCCCGGGGGTAAGGAGGCCCTGCCTAGCCAGGGTCAGCGCCTAGGGTAGGCAGCAGAGAGCGGATCGGGTGAAGATAGCAGGGTGTGGGGTGGGGGTGACAGGAAGTAGAATGAGGCTCTGCTTATAAGTACCCCCTTCCGAGTAATTTGTTCCTCCCTGGTCTGCCTTTAGAGGACTTAAGAAACTTCCAACAATGTCCATGGGTTGGAATTGGCCACCTGGGATCAGCGTTTCCAGGGTTTATTTTGTAATTCGCCTGAGAATTATAAGGGGAAGAAATGTGCCCTTCTGGTCCCTTCGGGTGCTGCCGGCCCCCCGGGCAGCACTGAAGGGGTTTCAGAATCTCAGGTGGGGTTGGAGGTCGCTGAGCACCTGTTTTCTGAGCACCTACTATGTGCTGGACACTGGGCAGGGGGCTGGGGACATGGTTCCCATCCTTGTGGAACTTGACAGAGGAGATCATTATTCAACTAAAAATACAACTAATGTCTGACTCATGGCTTTTGAACTGGGATGCATAATTAATTATGTGAAAAGTGCACTGAGGGAGAAGTTCATTGGGCTAAGAGTACAAAAGGGGACCCCAGCCTGGAGCCCAGGGGCCAGGCCAGGCCTCTCTGAGGGGCAATGTTTCGGCTGAGCCCTGGGTGATGGGGAGGATGTAGGCACAGGGAGAAGCATTCCTATAGGTGAGGCCAGTGGAGACAATGGCCCCGGGGAAGCAAGGACAGGGTCCCAGAGAGCAGCTATAGCACAGGCAGCATGGGATGAGGGCATAGAGCAGGGGTCCTCAAACTTTTTCAACAGGGGGCCAGTTCACTGTCCCTCAGACTGTTGGAGGGCTGGACTGCGGGCCCAGGGACGAGTCGGCTGCTAAGCTGGACAGGCAGCGGCGGCAAAAACACCCAGCGGGCCGGATAAATGTCCTAGGCAGGCTGCATGTGGCCCATAGGCCATAGTTTGAGGACGCTTGGCACGGGACACCCTGTGGCCTCAGCAAAGACTTTGCATTTCCCCAAAAGCAGGAAGGAGTCCTTAGAAGGATTTTCATCAGGACAGGGAAGGGACCATGACGGGCCCATTACCGGGATAGTTTCTCTGTACTACCCAGTGGCATAGGGAGTGGCACCTACAGATGAGATCATTTTCAGTGAAAATAAATGCCACATAGGGGACAGAGGGGAACAGAAGAGGACAGGGAGGGAGAGGGCTACTTTAGCTAGAGGACAGGGATTAGGCAGCATCTGTGGCTTGACATGAATGGAGGGAGCAAGCCATGGAAAGACGCGGGGAGGGGAGCATTTTGGAAGGAGAGACTAGCAAGTGCAAAAGCCCTGAGGCAGCAGCACAAAGGCTGACGTGGGTTCATGTGGCCACGGCAAAAAGTCAGAAGGGCTGTGAGGAGTCAGATCCCCAGGAGGACACTTGGCACAACCGAGAAGCTGGCAGCACAGGCCAGTCTCAGACCAGGTGACACCTGCCCGTGGGTTGTCTTTAGAAGCATTGCCATTGGCTCTGAGCCTTGTGCATTTGAGAGGCAGGGGCTTGCTGGGCCATTCAGGCCCTGATATTTCCAAGTGGGTCCTGATCAGCTCATTCTGCTCACTCCAGCAGGCAGAGTTAATAGCAACACTTTGGGGAAAAGCCTGAATCACATCCCTACGAGTCTCAAAATTGCTCAGATAGAATGAATGATGCAAGAGAAACCAAGAACCACAGATTACACTGAGTGTCAGGGAGGACATGAAGAGATGGGAGCCCTTGGTCACGGGTGATGCAAGAGGGAACCAGGACGGCCACCCTGGAGCAATCTGGCAATTGTTAGTGTGTCCCTTGGCCCAGGGATCCCAAAGAAATTCTTTCTCAAGTCCAAAGGGGACATAGACAGGATGTTCGTTCATGGTGGTGTGATTTATGGACACAGGAAAGGTGAAGCCAGAACAAATAAATATGGTGACACCAAGTTGGTAGCAAGGACGTCGGATTACAGCCACCTGGACGGAGCTTAGAGGGTGCCCATTGGGTGGGGGAAGGAGAAGGATTGGGGATGGGGTGCGTGATCACAAAGAAAGGGGCCCCAAAACACAAGCATTCGGCAGGTGACAGTTTGCTAAGCAGCTGCTCAAGGAGTCCCCAAGGCAATTATATAAATATTGTCCCCATTTAATGGGTGATAAAACCAACACTTAGAGGAGAAGTGACTTGTCAAGGGCTTGCAGCGTACAGAGACAGAGTAGGGATTCAGGAAGTGGTGTGACATAGTGCAAACTGTCTCACCATCAAGCCAGAGAGACCTGGGCCGGGATGCTGGCTCTGCCAGGTCAGGATGTGGGAACTCGGGCTGGTCACCTCCTTATCACACTGACCCTTGGTTTCCTCACATGGAACGTGGGGGCTCTGATGCCTTCCCCCTGGGTTGTGGTGAGAACAATGTGAACTAATGCTATCGAACCCGTACCTGGTGCCCAGCCCACAGTAGGTGCTCCTTACAAGTAGCTGTGCCTAACATCAGGTTCAAGGTGCTCCCTGGGGTCAGGCTGAGTGGGAGAAAGCGGGTCCTGGGGCCTCCTTGGTGGGCTGGGCTGCCTGGCACTCAGCATCCTCTCCTCATCCTCTTGCTTTGGGCCCCTGCCTCTGCCCCTGCTGACACCACCTTCTCCTCTTCCCAATCCTTTCCCAGCAAAGACAAGAATTGCTTCGGCACCCGGACCCTGGACTCCTGGAACAAGCTGAGCCTGGCCACTCTCCTGGACACCGATGTGTCCAACCCCATGGAGTATGAATTCAACTTCCAGCTGGAGATCCGCGGGCCATGTCTGCTTGCAGGTGAGAGGGAGCTGTCCACAGGTCCGAAGCCAAATAAGCCCCAGGGTGGAGAGGGCTTCAGGCCCAAACAGCCAGGAACAGAGAGGAAGGGGAGGCAGGGAAGCCGACTGGCCCAGCTGGAGGACAGACTGGAGCACACAGAGTTACAAGCCCCTTCCAGGGACAGATTTCAAGGCCATACACCTCTACCCAACATCCCTGGGGAATAGGGGCTCTTGGTCCTCTTCTGGAGGCCACAGCCCTAACCTGCTTCCTGGTTCTCACCTTGCCTGCATATTAGAACTCCCGGAGGAGATTTTAAACATCTAACAACCCAGATCCCAATCCCCAAGATTTGGGGGTATTTCAGTCCTGAGTGTGGAAACATTTAAAAGCTCCCCACATGCTTCTACTGTGCAGCCAGAGTTGAAAACCATTGCTCCAAAGGTTCTCTTCCCCAGCCATTCTGGCTTCTAAAAGGGATGAGATTTCTTGCTGGTGTATGTGCTCCTAGAGCCACCTTTCATTCCAGTGCAAGAGGCACTTAAGGGGCACCCACCCACTGATTGTATTAGGCTCTTCCTATCTACTCAGCCACATGCTTGGGGCTTTGTGTGCCCTCTGGGGAAGCCACTGCTCTGACCCATATTGGATCCCGAGGTTGGGGCAGGCAGGCACCATCAGACACCATCTAAGTCACACAGTAGGTTAGATGCCCCAACAGGGCTGGCGTGTCAGTTGTCTGTGGCCTGGGTCTGAGCACCCCCCACTGAGCTCCTTTCCCTCCTGGGGCTCCCGAGCCTGCCCTCCCTCACCCTTTCTGTGCCACTCAGGAGTAGAAAGTCCCACCCACGAGATTCGCGCCGATGCGGCCCCATCTGCCTGCTCCGCCAAGAGCATCATCATCACCTTGGCCAACAAGCACACCTTCGACCGGCCCGTGGAGATCCTCATTCACCCCAGCGGTACGGTGCCCGCGAGGGCCCTTGGGCTACATGTGGGAGGAGGAGTGCTAATCCCACAGGGACAGGACACATGTCCTCCTCCAGTGGCTGACCAAGGCAAGGGGCCGGGGTGCGTGTCAGGGAGGGGAGACCAACGACCCACCTCCTAGGAAACTGGGTTGTCACTGGTGGAATCGGTGTCTCCTGCCCTGATTAAAGCTCCAGAAACCCAGGGTCTCTTCCATTCCTGGGGTCTTTGAAACTCTAAGCTCGGCAAGCCATTGGCGACACTGTACCCTCAAAGAGGAACTCTCTTGTGTCATCAAGAATCCACAGAATGTTAGGACCTAAAAAATTCACTTAGCCCCATCTCACCCCTGTTTAACAGAGGAGTAAATTGAGGTCCCCACACCGCTTTAGGCAGCCAGGGCTTCCCGCCTCTGTGAAGATCTTGTCCCTAAACCAGGGCCCCTGGCATCCCCTTCACACCCGAACAAATGTTGAGTGACAATCTCATCTCTGCAGAGCCCCACATGCCACACGTCCTGATGGAGAAAGGGGACATGACCCTGGGAGAGTTCGAGCAGCACTTGAGGGGAAAAACAGATTTCATTAAAGGGACGAAGAAGGACAGTCGCGCAGAGCGGAAGGTGAGGACCACTCAAGTGGGGAGGGGAGGGGGGCAGGGCTGGGGCAGCTCTAAAACCTGGTCCCCACTCAACCAAGGAGGACACTGAACCTGCATGAGGAGGCCACCTGCCCTAAGTCACACAGCAATTTGGTAGCAGAGCCCAAGCAAGAAGTTGTGTCCTTCAGTGGGCTGAGACATTGCAGGGGCCTTCCAGATGCCCAGTCACCCTGGCTCTTTCTCCTGCCTCCTGCCAAGTTACCTTCTCCTAGTAGCCCCAAGGGGTCTAAGCCAGGCATAATTTGCATCTGGTGGCAACAATGGCCTTGACCTCCTCTGGACTACCACATCCACCTGGGGATGCCCAGGCCTTTCAGCTGGGGGTCTTCCAGCTCCCTCCTGGGGCTCCCTTCTCCCACGTCCCAAACAGCCCCTTGGTCTTCCTCCCTCTGGGGTCCTTGCTTGCTGAGACATAAAAGATATGGGCAAAGTGGGTTTCCCCAAGAAAGATCCTTCCCCTCTGCCCTCCCTGTACCCCATGAGGCTACGGGACCAGCAGCTCCTGGCAGGGGTGGGGAATGGTGGGAGGCAGAGGAACAGTAGCAGGCCACATCCAGTGCTCTCCCTCAGGCCCTGCACACCAGGTCCTAAGCACAGAGATAGGTTTAAGAACGATGGCACACCTCCTTAAATCAGCCCCCTTTCTAGCTGAGAAAACTAAGGTTTAGTACCCAAAGATAAGCAGTGATTGGAGAAAGGGGGAGATTGTCATCTCAAGAGTTAGACTTGGTGACAAGGAAGCTAAAGAATGAGATTGATCATGTGGGGCAGGGAAGGGGGAGTGGAATTCACAGCCTTACCCATTGTCTGCTGGCCTAGCTGGCCAGGGAGGGTCGCAAGGGGGATGAGGGGGAAGTGGACAGGGAAATGCAGCTAGGTTGTGGCCTATTTGATCCACCATGGGATGTTCAAAGGGAAAGTGCAGGTGGCTCAGTGCCACTCACAGCCTCCCCATGTTTAGGGACACCACTGAAATTACTTGCCCCCTCCCAGAGGTGCCCCTCACCCAGCTGAGTCAGCTGGAAGAAGCCACTGGAGCCTTCTCCGAATGGGGGTGGCAATGCCAGGGGACCCACGGGGCTCTGAGAACTGTAGCATGTGGACAAGGGGGAGCCCAGGGGGGCTTCCAGGCCTGGGGCTGGCTGTCCTGACTGTTATGCTTTAAATCAATTAGCTCTGGCACTGCTGAAGCAAATGAGAATTAATTTGCCACCTTGGGTTGGTTATGCAAATCGCCCATATTCTCATGAGCTCCAGGGATGACAGCAATCAACCCGATCAACCCGCAGCTGCTAAGAAGTGATGAGTTTATTGAAATTGGATAATGGCAGCTTGAGGACACATCAGAGCATCCTGAGCCAGGGCACCCACCCTGTCCCTCTGAGAGGCAGAACAAGGGTCCTGGAGGTGGCTCCACTCACTGGTAGATGTGGCTGGTGGTGCCTTGGACTCTGTCATCAAAAAAGCTAGGCTGGGAGGGAGGCAGGTTGGGGGCATCCAGAGGGTGAACGTCAGTCAGGATGGGAGGCTGGGATGTGCTGTCAAGACCATGATTTAGCAAAGAGGAGAAAATAACACAGAGGGACACACCATGTATGAGAGGCAGAGACTGGGGAGGAGGGACAACCCAAAAGGTACATACACAGGTCAGTGGCAGACAGAAAGACCCCACAGAGTCAGCCTCTCATTGATCATTCCACAAACCATAAGTGTCCAATCCGTGCCGGGCTCTGTTCTAGGCCCCGGGCAGCAACGCATTCCTTGTCCTCATTGAGCTAGAATGGGGAGACAGTCAAAAAATGAGTAAATGAGCCAGATCTGGGGCTGGGGTGGTGGCTCACGCCTGCAATCCTATCGGTCTGGGAGGCCCAGGCGGGTGGATTGCCTGAGCTCATGGGTTCCAGACCAGCCTGAGCTAGAGCGAGACCCCTATCTCTAAAAAAGAACCAGGCATTGCGGCAGGGGCCTGTAGTCCCAACTACCTGGGAGGCTGAGGCAAGAGAGTCACTTGACCCCAAGGGTTTGAGGTTGCTGTGAGCTATGACACCATGGCACTCTACCAAGGGTGACAAAGTGAAAGTCTGTC